CATAAATTTTGCACTCTTGTCAATTTTTAAAAAAATATCAATTACGTCAACTGCGTTTTAGTTGAAGACAGCTTTTCATTTTCTAAGTGTTTTAACTATAAATAAAGTTTAAAGCAAAGTCCAAAGGATAAATATTTTAATTAAAAGATTTTTTGCTAAATGACAAAGAAAAAAAATCTGATGTGTAAACCACATGACTTCCTTGTACGGAATATTAAATTATACGCATTTTTTCTTGCATTTCATTTAAACGTATTGGATTGAATTAAATCTACTTCGCCCAAAAAGAAAAAGAAACAGTTTTTTTTCACAGACGATTGAGTATTTCTCATTCAATTTAATTCAGTTTTCACTTCGCGACAAGGCAAAAATGACATAAAAACTTCAAAATATCTATATTAAAAATTCTACGAAGTAAATCTCAAACGCTTATTTCCTCGGAAAATTCCAGAAAGGAATTCAGCATGATTTAATTGGCAATAATAAATGAATGCTGTTATCTTTATTGTTAGCGAAGCTTAAGTTTTCTTCTAGATTGGCAACAAATCTACTATTCTTGCTGTTTCAAATGTAAACAAGAGCAATGGCCGCCATCAAAAACATTATTAGGCTTAGCGGCACTTAAACAATTTTAAAATTGTTAATAATTATAAAAATATTGCATACAGATTTACTAAAGGCATAAAAACCTTAACTGAAAGATAAGAAACATAATTCAATCATTTTTAAAGCAAAAAATGTACAATTTACAAACATATAAGAGTAAAGGAACTGAGACCACTGAGCCGGGTAACAGAGTGGATATATAAATATATTTATATACGTTTGGTGCGGCCGATTGCAACCAGAATATGAGGTGCACATCTACATGTTATAGCAGTCCTACATACGAAATTTCAACGGTATTCTGAGGCTACTCCTTTTTGAGTTATGTGAGATACGTACGTTCGTACGGACGCCACAAAAAATTATCTTCAGAATTCATTTTAAAGCAGTTTTATAATTTTTTTGGAGGAAAAGAGTGTTTTATTCTGTCCTTACATACAGATATCACGGAAATACATCATTAAATTGCATTTGAAAGAGGTCAAAATGGGATATTTTCATTGAAATATGCTGCCTGAAATTATTATCGCGATTTACACTACTACCCTTTTTACTTCGTACAAGGAATTTAAAAAAGTCCAGCAGTGTTTATTCTGTACCATTGAGTAACCCGATTATTATATCAGCTAGAAACAATCTAAATCACATTAAAGATCATGTTTTTCAGACAATCTATTACACGAGAGAAAATTACCTACTTAAAACATTCTTTCAAAGAGGATTAATGTAAAAATTTATACTTATATATATAATTTTTAAAACTGGGAAATGATCCAAACTGTCGACGTCCTGTTTAGTTAAAAACATTGTGAAAATAACATCAAACGAACTTTCTTGGTTTTAGGCAATTCAATTTAAATGCAGCCAAAGTAAAGTAGCAGACGGCGAAGTAATCTTACAAATATTTAAAAAAAAAAAAAAAAAAAAAGCAAGAAAAAGAAATTTTAAAAAATTAAAAATTTGATTAATATCATCTATAATTTAAAAAAATAGCTTTTCATATAGTATTAATTAATATTTGTTACGCATCACTGAGGAAACAAATTCCATATAATTAATTCTTTGTAAAAATTTATTTGAAATTTAAGGTTAAAAATAGGTGTGGCAATTCACTGTAACAGAAATCCATAAACAATATTTGGCATTATTATCACTCAAAAAAAGATTCCAAATTTCAATATGCAAAAATATGTAAATTTGTGTATATATTGGAGAATTTTGAATAAAAAACTCTAATTTTTTGCAGGTATGCTTAGAACTACACCTAATTTAAGATGATAGTAAAAATTTTATAGGTTATAATTCAAGATTTTTTTTCAAAAAATTTATAAAAATTATTTTAAAATAAAAAATAAAACACAAAAAATGGCTAAATTTTATTTGGAATGAACCTAAATTTCGAAATGTGAAAGGAAGAATAAAAAAAGTTTAATAAAAAAAGAGTTATTAATAAATATATACCAAATTCTATTACATTGAGGAGCTAAAATTTTGAGAGCTAATTTTTAAAAACTACTCGTACGATATTTACAAAACTTGGTAGTCTGGCATAATTTGAGTCGTAAAATCGAAATATGTAAAAAAATTGGTATATTATTTCAGAAAAAGTCCGATTTTTGTGTCAAAATACCTATGTTAGTATAGTGCTATGTATAAATCTAATATGTATCGTAAGTCGTGCTTTCAAGACATGAAAAACGCAATTTTAATTTTGTCAATCAGCCCAGTAGAACGAGAGATATAGAACTGTCCTCCCCCTTTTTTTTTTGCGCAGTGTACATGCATATATGGACACGTGCATTCATGCAAATATAGATAAATTTCTGAATCTGGTCTTGATAACACAAGAGTACCCTCCCCCCCCCAAAAAAAAACTTTTTTTCAGTTGTTAAACAAAATATTTTTATGAGCCCTTGTTTTGAAATATGATAATAAAATATTTTTAAAGTTTTAGATCTTAAATTCTCTGTATAGTTTATGCCTAAGTTTAATGTGATGATAAGGTAACCATATCCTGAAATATAAAAATGAAAGCTAGTCATTAGTATTAATTAGTCTTCTAGTATTAATTGTCTTATAAATGCAGTTTTGCACACTGTAAATAAAAGCCATTAAGTTTCAAACAATTAAAATAAAGTGATTTTAGTATGATATACGAGGCGTATTCGGAAACTAAGTACCGTTTTGAAAAAAAAAAAAAAAAAAATAGTAAAACAATTTTTTCGAATCCAATTTTATTTTTACATGAAAATACATGTCTTAAACTATTTTTCAACATAGTTTCCGCCAATGATCAAACACTTGTCATAGCGGGTGATCAGTTTTTGTATACTATCGTCAAAGAAACTTCCCGCCAGTTTTGATAACCACGACTCCACAGCATTTTTCGTGTCATCGTCAGATCCAAACCGCTTGCCACCAAGCTCGCGCTTCGTGTGCAGGAACAAGTGATATTTGAACGGCGCCAAGTCCGGGCTGTACGTCGGGTGATTGAACTGCTCCCAATGAAACTGTCGAATTAACGATTGAGTGACACCAGCATTATGGGGCCGAGCATTGTCATGGAGCAACACAATTCCTTTATTCACAATTCCAGCATTCCTCTTCATTTGTTTTGAATGGCACGCCTTAGTTTTGTTAAAAGTCTCACAATATCGTGCCGCATTGATGGTTTCACCTCTGGGAAGAAATTCAGTAAGCAAAACGCCTTTCCTATCCCAGAAGACAATGCACATGATTTTTTGTGATGACATTGTCACTTTGAACTTTTATTTTTTCGGAGAATGAGTGTGTCTCCACTCCATTGATTGTTGTTTCGATTCTGGTGTGAAATGACACACCCACAACTTCACCTGTCACGATTTGGTTTAAAAAGTTTTCTCCCTCATCACTGTACCGCGTGAGAAATGTCAGGGCACTACCAAGTCGCTTTGTTTTGTGAACATCAGTGAGCATTTTTGGAACCCATCGGGAACACAGTTTGCGATAATTCAAGCGGTCAGACACAATTTCGAACGAAACAGTACGTGAATTTGTGGAAATGCCTCTGAAAGAGTTGTCGTTGTGAAGCATCTGTTCTCATGAATTGCTTCATCAACTTTCTTACCAAATCATCGGTGACAACAGAAAGCCGACCACTCCGAGCCTCGGCATGGACATTTGTTTGACCTGCATTAAACATTCTTACCCACTTTTTCACCATTCCATTACTTATCGCATATTTATCGTAAACTTCTGTCACTTGATGATGAATTTCGGCCGGTTTAACATTCCTCGCGTTCAAAAATTTAATCACAGCACGAATCTCACAGTCAGCGAGAGAACTAATTGTCTTAAACAGTTTGAATGTGCACAGCAAACTGAAAACGCAACATAGAGCAACCAAAATGGCGACAATTGAAAGTCAGTGAACAAGAAAGACTAGTGCGCATGCGCGGGACGCCTACCACAGTGCTGCGACGGCGCGAGAATGAAACGGTACTTAGTTTCCGAATACGCTACGTATATTTTGATGCTTTTTCTAAGATGTTATAATATTATAAATGTTGAACTATAAAAAAAACTACATCAAAGGACTTTTCAATCCATTTGCTGTAACTATATCTTCATTGATTTGATTTCTTCTAAAACATCAAGGTGTTTTAACAAGTTTGAATGGAATACTACATAGCTGAAAAGATGAAAGTTCTTCTGTAGATAATCCTTTCACTGCCTTTACGAGATGGCGACTCTTCTCTTTAGACCACTGCACTTAAGAAAAGAATCTTTCTGCATTAGCAGCATGAGCAAGAATAGCTAAAAACTTTATTTTCAAGAATTCAGAAAGACTCTTAACATTTAAAAAAAAAATTTATGGTTCTGAGCCTCGTCTCCCCTCTTCCTTTTTTAGGATGCTGTTCACTTATGTTTCTTCATACTTGTTTGCAGTTCTTGCATCTGAATTTCTGTTATTCTGTTCTGAATTGTTAAATGAATTTTTAATTGTCTCTATTTTAAATGCAGTGTAAAATGAAAGAATAATATTAGTTAAATCTGAATTGCCATTTTTTCTTTGAGAATTTTGTATTCACTAATTTACTAAATATGCAACACCTTAGCATTTTAAAACTTAACTGAAAATTTATTTATCATTTATGTTTAACTAAAAGTTGGAGTTAAATTTAAAGAAATTTTAGCATATACATATTACACATTTTTTTGTACATTTATACATATTTTCGTATGTTAATGCTGACTGTTGAAATAGACTTTGGATTTGATGTATGTTTGTTGTTAGCATATTTCTAATATTTAATTTAAATATTGAAAAGTTATGTATATTTTTATCTCTCAATACTAAGAAGTTAAGATTTTGCATTATTTTTAAAACTTTTATATGAATGAGGAAAAGTCATTTCTTTTTTATTTTTAGTGCCTCCAGCAGTATCTGTTAATAAACATCAAAGAAGGTAATGTTACTGTGACTTGCCCTGATGCAGAATGCAGTATTTCAGGAAAAATTCTCGGATCTGAGGTAATGCATTAAACTTAAATATTTATTGTTAAATACTACTATTTTTTCCTGGTATGTCTTTATTTTATTTATAAGATTAATTATTAAATCAAGTTTTTCTTTCAAGCTTTTCTTTCAGTTATGTTTGCAAATAATTTCTTGTTCTATTTCTGTTTTATTGATATTTTAATTGCTGTTATATTCAAGTAAAGTATATCATATATATATGTATATTAGGCGATGTATAATCCTTTCAATGGTGCATCAAATCATCATGTTATCACTTTTTTTGGAAAATGTTATTTTAACCTTAGAGATATAATCTAAAGTTTTGCTTTTGTAGATAAGAGAAATAGCTGGAGAAGATGCTTTTTTCATGTTTGAAAGATACAAATTGAATCTAGGTAAGTTTGTTTTTCTACATAACTTGTGATTGAAATTGTGTGAATTTAATTTGCTGTAACTATTATTTTGCTAGGATTCAGTATCTGAAGGAAGGTGAAAAGAAAAAGGGGAAAATGGAAATAAAACTGTATTCGTTTAATTGAAAATGAGGTGATTCTTTTACTACAAAGAGTTTTTTAGCTGATTTTTATTTCTCACCTAAATCTTCGTATAGTTTATAAAATCAGTTTTGAATTTTATGTATTTATGTTTAGATTCATTTCAAGAATTGTGATCCATTTATAAATTTAGTCCAAGATCTCTTGTTCTCATTATTCAATTGCTGTTTATTTTTCAATGCATGCATACTAGATCATGCATATTATGTAATTCAGAAGTGTTGATTAAAAAATTAAAAGGAATAATATGATGATGACTAGGTTAATTCAACAAGTATTTGCTAGCTTGTGTTATTTTTAATTATCATTAAAATTTTAAATATTTAGGTACAAAGGAGATGTAGTTAAGAAATTTTAATGTTATCCCCAATACTGAACAGAAACAATTTATTTTCAATTATATACGAGGGCCATCCAGGAAGTAGATTACGTTTCCGTCTGTGTCCGCTAGGGGCGGGGCTAGCACGGCCATCTTGGGGTCAGAGCGTTGCGCAGCTCAGTCTGCATCTAGCCGTGCTAGTGAGAGGTTCGTGCTGTGCTCCATTCAGATACTGTGACGGTTTGAAATGTCTGCGTTAATTGAAAATCCCGCGAGGTGCGCTCAGTAATAAGGTTTCTGACTGCAAAAAACTGTAAACCGATAGAAATCTATCGGCAGCTTCGTGAAGTGTATGGGGACAACATTATCACTGAAGGTGGAGTGCGTCAGTGGGTCATAAGATTTCAAAATGGCCGAACCAATGTTTCACGACGAAGATCGAAGTGGGAGACCCAGCATAGTGACCGCCGAACTTCTCGAAAAAGTCGATGCTAAAGTCCGTGAAAATCGAAATTTCACAATAACGGAACTTTCTTTGAGTTTTCCATTCCACAAATTTCGCGAAGTTTGTTGCACGAAATCATCAGCGAAAAGCTTGGTTACCACAAGTTTTTGTGCAAGATGGATTCCAAAAATCTTGACAGAGGACCACAAAAATCAGCGAATGGCTGCAGCGTTGAACTTTTTGGACGCTTACCATAAGGATGGTGACTCTTTACTCGATCGCATCGTTACTGGTGACGAAACATGGGTGAAACATGTGAACTGTGAAACGAAATTGCAATCAATGCAGTGGGGGCACACAAGTTCTCCCCAAAAACCCAAGAAATGCATGCAAACAATGTCGGCAAGGAAGATGATGGCGACTGTTTTTTGGGACAGAAAAGGTGTAATTTTGGTGGACTTCCTGGAAAGAGGCACTACAATAAACTCTCAAAGGTATTGCCAAACTCTCCAAAAACTCAGAAGAGCAATTCAAAACAAGCGCAAAGGAATGTTGAGCTCTAAGATCTTGTTGATTCACGACAACGCCCGGCCCCACACAGCAAATGTCACTCGTAAAGTTCTTGAATCTTTTAAGTGGGAGTTGTTTCCTCATCCGCCGTACAGTCCTGACCTGGCACCGAGCGACTTCCACCTATTCCCAGCAATGAAGAAGTGGCTGGCTATGCAGCGTTTTGATGACGACGCACAGCTGCAAGAAGAGGTAACGAAGTGGTTGAAGGCGCAGGCGGCCGAATTTTTCGACGAAGGAATTTCCAAGCTCGTACATCGCTACGATAAATGCCTTAATTTGTATGGTGACTATGTAGAAAAGTAGTATTTGAGTGTGGCTTTCATCTGTATATAATAAAATTTGTTTCCTATACTTTGTTTATTTTTTTATTCCAAAACGTAATCTACTTTCTGGATAGCCCTCGTATATGTTAATTTTCAATTGTATAAATATCTACATAATGCATCCCACATAGAAAAGCTGTGGCTTTGAGAATAAAGTATATGTATATGCTTGTAAATTGCTTAAGCTGCTTATATATGTGTGTGTGTCTATATATATATATATATATATTTAATTTCATGCTTTGTTTTAACTGTTTTCACATTGTGGAAGCCAGTAAACAAACAGCAAGGATGGCTCTGTTATATTCCCTTCAATTGTTAGTATTTTTATGTTATGGTTTTTATGTTTTGCTTACATTTATGCATTCCTTCAGCTTTAGTTTGCAGTGATTTAGCTGCACTGATCTTGTTTGTAAGTTTTACGAATTTTGCTGATAAATGCATATATGTTAACTTTCTGCTGTAACAGAAGTCCATGTTTATTCTCAACAGTTACTTAGTCAGCTTCTTGGATGAAATAAAAGTTGAAATTCAGTTATCAAATTCTGTCAGAGTGATTCAGATGTCACAGCTTATTAGTAAGCAGTTGGACATTCAAATATGATACTGCATGATTCTAAGTGAATGTAGCTGCCAGAAGTGAGGTAACATCCAAGGTTGTGTTAACTGGTCTTTATGAGACAAGTTTGCCTGGAATTTCTAGTCTTAGACTTTTATTTAAATAGATGTTGTGATGATTGATTTTGAAAGGTTCTTTAGTTAGCTGTCGTCCGTGATGTTAATCCAATAGTGGGACTTTTTTCTTCTCACACATTATTTTATATATATATATAAGAGGTATTAATTAGTTTACAAAATATTTACATAAGATTAACATTAAAGTCAATTGGAGAGTACACGCCTGCATATTATCGTGTAGTCCTGTTAAGACATACGGTGAGTGCACACCTGCGATAATCGTGCAGTCACCTCCGACGCTGTCTAAACCCTAACTGACTCTTCCCTGCAGCAATCAATCACCAGAGGGAGTTGTACAAACTATTTCCCTCGAATATCAGGGAAGGGAGGTATCAGACATTACACCCCCGCCTAAGATTGTGATTGGGGTGCAAACCCAAGATCACATATCTGATAACCGTCTGATACATTGAAATATTTCTGTCATCAATTCACATAAATTTCATGAATAATTTTTCGTACAATACAAATTTATACCTTGATCATTACAATTATCAATAACAGATTAATCACTATTATCTATATAAAATACACGAAAAAAATGTTCTAATAGTTCATAGAAATCATAGCAAATAATCTATCAATCCACTAACTCAGCCTAACATATCTAAACATAAATACCAAAGCATGAAATATTAAAAATTCGATTAAAATATACTTAACACAATAACCATATGAGAAATCGTATCTCCACTGAACCTGTAAAATATAAAAAATAGACATGGTTATTTAATATAACAAAAATATCAGTAAGAGGTATGCATTTTGTCATGGTTTTAAGCTTAGTGTTTTTACTCAGGTATTGAATAAAGTCACTTATTTCAATATAGTTCACAGAGTTCAAGTCACACAGAACCACATAAAGTGTCCACTAAGTCCGATGTGAATAACTTAGTTCACCATTAATGTCACTTAAAGTCACACAGTGATGACACCTATAATCAGAAGGACTACCGCACATCAGTCCTGTAGAGGTAATCAAGACAAATCATCAGCATTATTAAGCTTTGCTCCTATATTCCACACAGTGATGGCACCTATAATCAGGAGGACTACCGCACATCAGTCCTGTAGAGGTAATCGAGACGAAGCATCAGCATTATTAAGCTTTGCTCCCGATGTCGAATTTCCGAACGGGGAACGTTGGTTAAAATATTCGCATAGGCTCTCTGCTTATCCGGGGCGGTTAAAGAAGCTTGTTCCGCTGCTTTCTCTAATCGTATTTTTAGATCTTGTGGATATTCTACAATGGATTGTGAGATATTGGCTGGCAAGGGTATATCTCCCGCCCAAGATGACCTTAAAATTGCTAGAGGTCCACGGACTTCTCTTCCATATAGAAGTTTAAAAAGCAACACTCCTGTAGTGCTTGGAGTGTGCAACACTCCTGATCGCTTGCTACTATATTTGGTACTCCTGTCCTAGAAAATATTTGCAAAAGTGCTTCACACGTAGACTTAGCAGTCAAAGAAGTTATAGGTATAGCTTCTGACCATCGTGTATGCTGATCCATCACATATAACACATATTTATGTCCTCGACCCGATGGTGGATCAATAGGACCAATAATATCCATGTTCACGACTTCGAATGGCAAATCCGGTCTGCACACTGGGGTTATGGGTGCTCTCTCATGTATTCTTTCAGGATTTTTCAGCTGACGATTTTCACAAGATTTACAATACTCCACAATGTCCTTAACCATGGAAGGCCAATAAAAGTTATATCGAATCCGCTCTTTGGTCTTCTTAATTCCTAAGTATGCACCGAAGACTAATTTGTGTGCTAATTGAAGAACTTTCGAGCGTCTTTTCGCGGGTAATACCAGTTGAGATACCTTTTCACCCGAAACCTTGTCATTATGATGTATCAAACCGTCAATTAAAAGAAAATTTCCTTTACCCTTTAAATTTGACCTGACAGTCTCTAAATCGTCACATTCCCTTTGTTTTTCTTTTAGTTTTTCCTTTTCCGATTTCTCTGCCTGTGACGTTGTTTCTTTAATTTTTTCATTATTTACCTTAATATTAGCCTATATAAGTCTGTTATTTTCACTTTTTAACGAAGGTCTTCCCATTACATTTAAATTCTGGCCCTGACTTCCATCATCTGTTGTCTCGGAGTCTAGGCTCTTTTCGACTACTATCCCTTTGTCTGATTTTTCTAAATCTTTAAATGTTAACGGTGTAAAGAGGTTTTCATATTCCTTCTCCATCATTTTTAATACATTAGTAGGAATTAACCCTGGCCCTTTCAGTTTATCTGTGACTGCTACAACGACTTCTATAGGTGTTGTTAATGTACCGCTTCTACCCTTATTTATTGACATAAAAATCTTAATTAATTTGGCTCTTATTTCTTCCCCGAAAGCTGAACTCAAAGTAATGACTCTATAATCATCATTTACATTAGGGACATTTTCTGGTCTTAAAATGGTAATCTG